AGAGAGAGAGAGAGAGAGAGAGAGAGAGAGAGAGAGAGAGAGAGAGAGAGTTCTTCTTCTTCCTCTTCTAAGTCCACCATCTCTCCCTCACCCTCGCGCTACCTGACTTCTCACTATCCGCAGACTACGAGCGAGAGAGAGAGAGAGAGAGAGAGAGAGAGAGAGAGAGAGAGAGAGAGAGAGAGAGAGAGAGAGAGAGAGAGAGAGAGAGAGATCGGTGACTCTGGGACTTGACGACATTTAGATCCAGACTCTACATTGGGATTGAGACATTGGACGAGGGATTATTTGGGACCTGTACCGAAGACTTGGTGTTGACGACATTCCCATCTTCCCCTCTTCTTCATCTAACCCCCCTCTTCTTCGTCTGTGTATGGTTGGGGACTGGCGCATTCTTCCTGTGTGAGCGCCAGGCCCCTTCACACCATGGAGTGATGATGATGTATGTTTGGTCTGGATTGCGACATTGATTGTTCGGATCATTGGTATATTAGCCTTCCGCTGCGCTATCTTGTACTATGTGAGAGAGGTCGGTTCTTGTTCTGGTCTGCACCGTTACGGTATTCAACAGTTTTCCTCCCCTTGGCCCTTGCGGCCTCAGACCGGGGTCACGGCCTGTGTGTGGCCTTAGGCCACTTCAGAACATATTGAGCGGGGTATTGCACTAGCATACCTTAGGAAGTTAGGATAAAATAGTAACAGAGGCGCCCAAAGGTAGGCTCAAGCTAGCTCTTTGGGGAGCTGTAGAGCGTAATAGTCAAAGCCTGCCTGACTGTGAGACCTACAAGTCGAACAGAGACGGAAGTCAGCCATAGTGATCCGGGGGGCCCATGTATATGAGAGAGGACTATCTGGGATCTCAATAACGACTGAACTAGTGAAGGGTTGAGCAGAAAACTGCTGTCAAAATCCAAAATGAATCTGTCGAAATTCAAAATGAATCTGTCGAAATCCAAAATGAATCTGTCGAAATCCAAAATGAATCTGGTTGCATCACCTGATGTGCATGATTTTGCTATGGAACTTGGCAACTGCGTAGCACGGCGAACGTGTTCACACCCCTCCGCGTTCGTGCGAACGGCTCGCGAACGTGTTCGGGCGAACAGTTTTTTTTTCCCGTAAAAAAATAAAAATAAATAAATAAATAAAAATCGATTTTTGATTTCACGTTTGGTTAAGAATTTGAACATGACTCCAAGGCAAAAGTTGCTTGTATTGTTGTTTTACATGACATATATTTTTTTTTCCAGATTTTTCAGAGTTTTTTCATACTTTTTTATGTTCGCGTTTGGAGGGTTTTGGGCGATCGTCTGCGTTGAGGCGAACATGTTCGCGTTCGCCTCCGAACGCAAACACGATGCTACGCAGCTTGGCACAAAGTGAAGATTCATCTGCTACTTGAACTTGAGACTGCGCATGGGAACCTTCAGTGTCAGGACTCGGGAAGGAATTCACAGACTGGTGGACAAACAGCTGATGTATAATGGTGGCAAAGCCTATAGATCAAGTTGTTGCAATTGCACATCGGCTGGTTGAGCGGTAGTCCCAGCACAGTCAACATAGGTGGAAGGTGAAGCAGCGGGTTTGGGTCCTTTGGGAGCAGATGATAGGGCAAGGCCTTTACCAAGGAGCCTAACTCGGTACACCCACGAACTGTTCAGATACAGCAGACCCAAGTTCGAATCCAGATCAATCAGACAAGGCGAGCAAAATAATTTTTTTAATTACCTGGGGCCGGTTGGTTCAATGATGACATCTCAAGGCCGTCACCCGTAAAAAGCAAAAAAAAAAAATGATATCGCAAGGTTCTGAGAGGGGGGGACTGTCAGACAGCGCCAGAGAGATCAGAAAGGCCACGATAGTGAAGGACATGAGGGAGATCTTCCTGTTAACTGGGACCCAGACTTCTTTATGGACCTGTGATAGAGTTATTGAATTCGACCATGGCATTTTTGCAGGGGTTAAGCTGTTCGATATAAGTTTCCCTGACGCAAGCCAAGGAGCCGGGGCGGTGGTTGCTGGTGTGCGGATCTGACGGAGTCGCGGCAACCAGCCCGGCTCCTTGGGAGCTCCGACCCTTCCAACTTCTCATTCAATTGCAGGCCCCTGCGCAAGGCCGGTTCAATTTTTTTCTAGCTTCCAAAAATCAACCTGCAATTAAATGAGAAGTTAGGAAGGGTCTGGGCGTCCTTCAGGACCTCCGTTAAAATTGGAATGATACAGAGAAGATTAGCATGGCCCCTGCGCAAGGATGACACACAAAAATTGAGAAATGGTCCAAATTTTTTTAAAAAGAAAAAAAAAGGAAGGGTCGGGACAAGCAAGAGTTGATCTGAATGGAGGAGACAAGATGGCGTGGTTGGAATGGTAGCCCTTTTCATGATAACAAGGGATGGGGGTGTGATAGCTGCATTGTTCTACGCCATTTCTGCAGGGGAGTGATAATAATGCCTGTCATTCTGATCGGGATGAAAGATATCCTCAGGGCTCTTTTGATAAGTATAAATCACACAGACTATGTGAACCACCACTTCACCAGATGAAAGATATCCTCAGGGCTCTTTTGATAAGTATAAATCACACAGACTATGTGAACCACCACTTCACCAGATGCCTTCACTGGATTTCAGTGGTACCCAAAGCGGGTGCAAATTGGTCCGATAGAAGCCTAGAGAGCAGAACTTGGGCTTCCATGAAAGAAACCTCCTGTGACTAGTGATCTCCCCCGTTCGATTGTGGATTGCAATGACAAGATCCTCTCGTGAAGTTGAAACAAAAACATGGTCTTGATACCAAGGCCTGATTGCCAGGAAGCCAGGGTGGGTAAGACACAGGTTCCGCAAAATAGGTTTGGGGAAAATTGGGGGCAGTGGTGATTTAAACATTGAGATACTCCATCCGACATGCACTCCACACTGGGACTGGTTTCCAGTCTTAATAAGAGAACAGCTACCTGAAGGGGAAAACACACACACACACACACACACACACACACACACACACACACACACACACACACACACACACACACACAGAGACTGTGAAGAATGGGATTTAGTCCTTCAGGACATCCGTTAAAATTGGAACGATACAGAGAAGATTAGCATGGCCCCTGCGCAAGGATGACACGCACAAGTTGAGAAAAGGACAAAAAGAATGGGATCCATGTTGAAATGTGTTCACAGAATCCTTTTTTCACTGTTTTGTTTTTAACTAGGCTACCAGAGTGGCCCAGGACCACTTGCCCGGCCGGGCCATAAAAAAATGAAGAAACGAAAATAAAATGATGTTTTTAAAACTTTTTATTTTATTTTTTGTTCTGAATTTGGTAAAGAATTTCGATGTGACCCTGAGGCAAAAGTTGGTCAGTTTATTTTTCTGCACAACATAGTGTAATGAACCCAGTGTGTAAGATACTCGCCAGACGCCGAAATACAAGATAACTCAGATCTGAACAATGCCTCCAATAATCATGAATGTGAAGAATAGACAGATTAGAGGGTGGAAGAGATAATAACCATCAATGACCACCAAGAGAGTAGCCCAACATTTCCCACTCCTTCTCCGGGCTTCCCCTCACCTCCACGTAAACAAACAGTATCCAGTAACGAGTCTGACAGGTTCTGATCACATCGAAGTGCCACAGGGCACAGTTCTCTCGTGAAGACGTTGGAGACAATCAACAGCGCACAGTATCGACATCAACTCAGGTGAGAATCCCGATCCTCCTCAATCATCCACAGATCCCAATCTCCCTCCTTGTTGCGTCCAGTCAACCAATGTAGACAGCGTGGCCAATGCCACATTAGTGATGAAGACAGGTGGCATGCGCCACATCAGCAATGAAGACAAGTGGCATGCACCACATCTGCAGAGGCTGGCGCTCAGCAGCGAAGGCGCCAGCATGCTGCCTCAGTCCCGCGTCGTCGTCCCCAGTGCCAGCGCACAGCCAGCGTCCAGCTAGCGTCCAGCCAGCGTCCAGCCAGCGTCCAGCTAGCGTCCAGCCAGCGTAAGTCAGCACGGCAAGACCGAATGTTGACTCCCTGGAGGCAGGGTCGTATGTAGTGATAGACCGAGTTGACCTGCGTCAGGTCTCCCACCCACGGTGGCCCAGATTGCCTCACAGCCGAGGGCCTGGATTGCTTACAGTTGCAGACTTCCACCTGGTCCGAATGCTGTCTTGGTACCTGCATACAAACAAGTGTGTGTGTCTGACCGGCGGCCTGTGCTGGGTCCATATTGACTTTGACTGTTGGGCCTCAGGCAGTTGACTGAAGTCAACTGTTGGCGCTCAGGCCCTGGCACCACTTCTGGGGATCTTTTGCCCTTCGGCCTGAGGCCGGGTTGTGGCCTGGCCAGGCCCTTAGTCGTTCCACGAGGCATATGAAGCGGGTCACTGCAATAGTTTTTTTTCGTTTTTTTTATTATTATTTTTTTTTTGCTGGGACCTTCCCTGGTCCTTGCACGGCCGCCCGGGAAAACAATGTGACCCGGACGGCCCGGCTGGTAGCCTAGGTTTTTAATTAATAATAATTTGCTGATTATTTGCACCATTTCTTGATTTGTTCGTGTCATCCTTGCTTTCAGGGGCCATGTTTATCTTCTCTCTCTGTATCGTTTCAATTTTAACGGATGTCCTGAAGGCTGTGTTGAAGAACTTCCCACGATCCTACCTACCGAGTGCTCTGCTAATTGCAATTGGGATATTGGGAATTGCTGGGATTTGCAGGTTTGCGCCAACTATTCCTTGCATACTGTATCATGGAAGCAAGGAGGAGAGAGCAGCTCTTCGTGAGAAATACATGCCAGCAAAAGTGACAGAGGATTTCCCTGTTGTGGTCACATCATATGAAATTGTTATGAATGACAGGAAGTACCTGCAAAGACACGTATGGAAATACATCGTTGTAGATGAGGTTGGATTGTTGATTCTCTGAAGAACCTGCTGACCTTTTACTGCATGCTGCCATGGAGGTTTGCATTTGCTTGAAAAACATTGTGTATTTGTGCTGCAGTCGAGTTCTTTTGCAGCTGTGTCATTTTGATGTGAGCAGGCGATCCTTAAATGCCCATTCAGTTCACTACCATCTCCCGCCAAACATAAAGCATATGCATTGTGTTCGAGTTTTCAAAAAAAATCGATGAGTCAAATAGAATGCATATGCGGTGTATTCGAATTTAAGGGCTGTTCGAATAGAACTCGTACGCGTTCTATTCGATTAGAAGCAGCCTATGCGTTGTATTCGCTTACAACGCATACACGTTATGTTCGGGGGAAGGCGGCAACCAAAACCTTTGGATTTCGTCAGCTGCAGTGTTGTGTTTCTCATTGAGCTACCTTTGGATTTCGTCAGCTGCAGTGTTGTGTTTCTCATTGAGCTTATCGTTGCTGTATAATATGTGTCACACTATCTGGTCCGCAGGTTTGGGTGGTATTAATGGTGCATGTAAAACTGAGGGAGGAGCTGTGGTGCTAAGTTTCATCTCAGGATGCTTGATGTCTATGCTGAAAGTGGAATCATCAGACTATTGGAACCGTTTTTGGCAGTTGTGAAGAAGGATTGTTACTCTTATGAGTGCTGAGGGATCTAGAAAAGAAGATGGAGCATTACACCGTACAAGCGGTTCTGCCATTGCTTAATCCTGGCTGCATGTGTGTGTTAGAGTGGGTTTTATGGCTATGAGCCTGCGGTAGACTGGTTTTCTGTACCTGTTGGTCTTCCTGTCAGGGTCTCGTCTTGACAGTCTGATAGGAGTGCAAGGTTGGTGTGGTTAAAGTCAACCACTTGTCACTCACTTTGGATGAGGCGGCATACCCGAATATGTCAGTCAACTTCATTTTGGACCGACTGTCAGTCACAGGTGGCAAACATCTTACAAACGTCTGTCAATGGTGCTTTTTCTTGGACTTGAGTTGGTGAGCATGACATCACATACGCATCTAAAACACACACACACAGACACACACACACACACTGATGAGTCCGTGAAAGTCCGACAAAACAGTCTGGCACAGTCATGCTTTTTTGAGTGTATAGCGAATATGACAACACACATACACACACAGAAAGGGGGGGCTGGGGGGGGGGGGGGGGGAAAGGAGRGGGGGGGGGGGGGGGGGGGGGGGGGGGGGGGAGAGAGAGAGAGAGAGAGAGAGAGAGAGAGAGAGAGAGAGAGAGAGAGAGAGAGAGAGAGAGAGAGAGATCTGTGTTACATGCTGAGCCTGCGCACGGGCCCCATTTTGGGGGCCCGACGGTTGCTGGGGGGCCCCATGCCGCACGCCCGTCAGACGCGCGCCCTGGAGGCCCACGGCCGGCCTTAGGACCGCAGGTTTCGATTTGAGGCAGTATGCATTTATTTATTCATTTATTTATTTATTTGCTGTCCGATGTTTGTCTGCTCAGGCGTCGTTTCGGACTTGCAGTTCGTCCAAACAGACTTTCGGTCTGTTCGGACAAGGCCACGTTTTTGGCCTGGTACGGACGTAGGCAGGCCCTTGTGGGCCAGGTTTGTGTTCGTCCAGTAACGGACGTCCCTGCTGCATCAGCAGGGAGTGTCTGGACGTCCGGTCGGGACCCAGACCAAGTAGGCCATTTTTTGGCCGAGGACGAGAAGTACACGGAGGCACACCCACGAGACCCAGCGCTGCTTATAATTCGGACATGCCTGGGCAGAGTTCGAGTAGCTCTCTTCTTGGGTGACATGCTGCTGGAGCAGCGCGACACGACACTGCACTAGAGAATAGAGGTGTAGGTAGGGCGAGGGGCGGAGGCCATACCTGCATCGTCGGTCCTCACCTGGGCGCCATAGTTGGCTCCACGCCAGCGACCTGCACAGAGAGAGAGGAACACCGGCGACAGTTAGTACATGCCGGCGGTTACCTGCAGGTGAAATAGCGAGGAGAATGATATCTTCTGCTCTCGCCCTCCATCTCTCCTTCTTCCTCCTTCCCTCTTATTCTCCTTCTTCTTCTTCTTCTTTCAGAGAGAGAGAGAGAGAGAGAGAGAGAGAGAGAGAGAGAGAGAGAGAGAGAGAGAGTACAGGCAGAGGTTACAATGGGCATGGAGCCCAGTTTCTGATTCGACATTTTTGAGGCAGACATTTATTGGACATTCGGCTGGGAGACTATTTTTGGACTTGGCTATCGTGATCTTGGTCTTCTCCCTCACCATCTTCATCTCGCCTCTCCCCCATCTTCTCATCCGTGATATCTCTCCCATGTGCGTGTTCAAGGAGGGACCTTTCTTCCATGTATGCGGTCCCTCCTCCCTCTCTCACATGTGTGGTGTATGATGGGGTATCGCATCAGTATCTGACAGGTCAGGTCTTATCTTTGAGTCTTCGGCTGCACTACGTTGTGCTATTTTCATATGTATCTGGATGTACATTGCTTGTTGATGCTTCGCTGACACTGCATTGCCCATTTGAGTCCTTTTCCTCACTTTGCGGATCCTTGGCTCCATATGCATCGCTCAACTGCTCATGTCTCTCTCTCTCTCTCTCTCTCTCTCTCTCTCTCTCTC